TGTGTATTTCTAGATTAACTGGGTGGTGCACAGTCCTGACCTTTGCTAGAACTTCAAAGGTTACTAGCTTTTGGGGGTCTCTGTCTAAATTCAGCTAGTGAAGACAATGAATGGACTCCGGCAACCAATCAGAAGGATATATGCACCCCCTATGCTCATAGCAGCACAATTTACAATAGCTAAGATTTGGAAACAGCCTAAGTACTCATCAGCAGATAAGTGGATTAGAAAACTGTGGTACATCTACACAATGGAATACTAGCTGCTATAAAGAAAGAAAGAATTCTTACCATTTGAAGCAGCATGAATGGAACCGGAGAGCATTATGCTAAGTGAAATAAGCCAGGCAGTGAAAGAAAAATACCACATGATCTCAATCATTTATGGATAATAAAGAAAATTATAATCTAATGAAGGCCGGGGAGGGTTGGGGGGCAGGAGGGAGGGGGGTAAGAGATCAACCAAAGGACTTGTACGCATGCATATAAGCATAACCCATGGAATACAGACAGTAGGGGGTGAGGGCATGTGCTGGGGGGTGGGAATGGCCGGGGAGAGGTCAAAGGGGGGGGAAAAGGAGACATGTAATACTTTAAACAATGAAGGATATAAAAAAGTAATCTTCCAACTCTTGTTAGGCAGAAGAAAATCAATTCTATACTAGAATCAGCAGATTATTAGAATAGAGATGTTATAAAGCAATATTTGCAATAAATCATCCATTGTGGATGACTTAGTTTACCTGGTAAACTTTGTTTCCTGGAAAATTGAATTTTTCGTATCTGTAATTAAGGCTGTTTTACTGTATTTTTAATCTTTTAGAACATTATGCTATAGAAGATAACCATGGAGAATTAGTTCTACAAACAATAGAAGAAGAATCATTATTTGAAGCAGCTTTTCCAGAGATTGTTGCTGTTTACCACAAACAACAGTTAGAAATTAAAGAGAAGAAAAAGAAAAGTAAGTATCTCATTTGATAGCCGCACACAGCTGTTGTAGAGGAGCTATCTGTTCTACACGAGTCAATATTGTCTAAATTTTGCTGAAAGTTCTATATAAGAGCTTGCTTCTTTGTCTTGATACACTATTAAAGCTGAAAAGCCAAGAGTAAACCATTCTCAGATGTGTCTTATAAGTTAAGTGTTAATAATAGTAATTACACCAACCACTTATTGAGCAAGTAGTATATGTAATATATTTTGGATTATAAATATATTTTCTTTATTTCCCAGAAAAACTAAGGAAGAAAATTCAATCAAACATTGTTTCTGGAAGAAAATATTTTATAATATGTTGTCATTAATTATTTTGATTGTTTTTTAATTTTGTTTTATTGCTTAAAATATTACAGAGTATTACATATATCTCCTTTTTTTTTCCCCCTTGACATCCCCCGA